AGGACATGGAGATTCCCAGGATCCTGTGGCTCCTGGGAGAGAAAAGRGCTCCCCTGGGAGATGATGGGAAGTGGAATCAGGATGGAGAGTGGGCTGTGCCAAGGGCCTGGTGCTAGAGCTGCAYTGAGAGGAAATTCCTGTGGGGCTGAGCTCCTTCCACACTCAGCAGGGAAGGYAAAGGGTCTGCACCCCTGGGAGACCTTCAGGAAACCCACCTGGCACCTGCCAGGTACTGAAAGTGATGTAGAACACAGATCACTAAAAATCACTTGCATGGAGCAGGGAAAAAAAGGGTTTTTTCCTTCAACAGACAAAAGAGAAGAGCCAAGAAATGCCAGATGCTATATTGGACAAGGGAAGGATTTCCTTTCATGAAATGGAAGGATTGCCCATGGCTTGAGTCTGCTCTTCTTCTCCAAGCCAGYACCGCACTCATGGGCAGGTATTTGTGCTCTTTTCCCTTCCACAAGACCTGAGCCTCTCCACTGGCTCTGAGTGTTGAGACACAGCGAGAATTCCTGATGGGCRCTGGAATTTTCACAACTGCAAAGAGAATAAAGGCAGCATTATCACCGAGGTGGCCAAYGCTGCTGGATGGAAGAGCAGAGCTGGCTCCAGAGTGAGTAATCCCACTCCTCCCGCCCACAGAGCTCTGCTCTGCACCCCAGTGCCCTGCACCAGCCACATCAATGTCACAGCTCACCATCCTGGGGCTTTGCCATGGAAACTGGGATCACAGCGAGCGTGGCTGCACTTCACCAACTGGGAATGGGGCTGGGGTGAGAAACAGGACCCCAAAATGGGGCTGGAGTCAAGGGTGAGGTGCAGAGTTGTGCTGCTGCATGGCAAGGGGCCAAACACCACTTTCAGGTGTTTCCAAAGCTTTCAGGGCCTGTGTGGATAAATCCTATAAAGGTCCCAATAWTGTTAATCAGTCATTCTCTAATTAATAGTCAATAGGATCCCTTCCAGGATTGGTCCTGTGGAAACCTGGCAGTGTGTAAAAGAACTGAGCAAAGAAGTGAGGTGAAATTTCCACATGCAGAATTCCATGTTCTTTCCTTAGGTTTATGGAGAGGAGTGAGAGCTGGGCTGGACAGGTCAGCTGAGCTCTGCATGGAGRAGCTCCTGCTGCCACAGCACAAATCAGAAAAGTAAATTCCTGCAGAAAAAAATCTGCGTGACTTCAGGTCTGTGGGGAAGAAACACCCAGGAGCAAAAATGGCAAAACACCAAAGAGGGTGAAAAGAGGGAGAGAAGGCTGAGGAAAGTAGGGAGAAGARGAGCTGTGGGAGTGAAAGGGAAACCTTCCCAGCTCCAGGGGCAATCTGGYATTTTGGCAGGTTGGAGTGAGACAGCATGGAGAGGTAAAGCAGCAGGATAAGGCCCTGTGGGGACATGGGGATASACAAACACATGCAAGGGACTCCAGCTGAAGGAGGGTCCTGCAAGAGAAGGGATTAATGGGCAGAGGAAGCACCTCAAAGGAGGCAACCTCAGATATAGAGTGGGCAAGGAAAAAAGCTGATTGAAAAAAAAAATATTCTCTGTTTTTTCTTATATGCAAATTCTTGGTTCAGAATATATTACTGCCTTAAAACACTTGTGTTGAGTTATGCTCCAGCTGCCCATCMCCTTCTTAGGCCAGGCTATGCCTTCCCAGTCACAGCAGCCCAGGAGGCATTCCCAAATACAACCTGAGAACCTCACCAAGCTCCTCCAAGGACASCCAGGTACTTTCTGTGCTCTGCACWAACCCCAAGGTTTTTCCTCCCTGCCYTACAGGTGGGGTGAGGTATTTGGTGCTGTGTCCAGCCCTGGGGCTCCAGGCAGGGGCAGGAAGGGCACCTGGACACTTCGCTCCATCCCAGAGGGCAAAGAGAGCCAGAGCACAGCAGGGAATGTGGGAAGAGGGTTCAGCAGGGACATGGGGAAATTAATTTCTCAGAGGAAAACAGAGCAGGAGATCTTTCACCAAAAGTTTTAATTAACTATGTTTTTCCCCCTGCAAACTCAATCCATTTGAAATCCCTGCTCTGCACTCCCCAAGTCCGGGTGTGCACTCAGCAGGTTAAAGGGATGCTGAGTTTTGTGAGTGCAGCAGGAGCAGCAGGTTCCAGAGAGGCTGAGGGTTGTGCTCTGTGCCAATGCCACCACATCAGCACAGTGACTGCAAGACTGGAGAAGGACAGAGATGGGAGGGATGGGAGTGGTGCCATCCCACCCCAGGCCTGAATGGAGAGAGGCTTGGGCAGACTTTTTTATCCCTAAAGCTTTCCCTCGCCCTCTGAGCAGGGTTTGCAGCAGGGGGAGACCTCAGCCCGTGCAAAGCCAGCGTGGGTGATTTGTGCCTCGGGAGCAGCGAGTCCGAGGGCAGGCTGGGATCTGAACWTCCTCTGGATACACCTTGGAAACCCTGCTAAAGCTGCCTCTGAACCCCACATGGAGCAGACACTGGAGYTGGGAGACAGAGATGCCTTTTTCACTCCTTGGGAGCACCCCCAGGCTAAGTGAGATCTGGCTGGGCCACTGCCAGACCGCTGGGCCCAAGGCTGGAGCTCTGCAGTTCCCCAAAAGSCACATTCCAGGGTCTGAGTGCCCTGAGTGAAAAGAGTTGGCCTCTGTAAACAACGCAGGGAAGGCCAGGCACTTGATGTACYGCCTGTGGTCAGGGGAACAAGAGCCTGGTGCTGCCCTGAGCGGGACAAAACATTTCTCTAAGGCAACTGATGAAAAATCAGTCTGGCACTGTAATGCCTGAACTTGGCCCAGCTGAGGAGCTGCTGAAGGATTTGATGAGATAGGATAATAATTGTTTTTGCCCCATGTTGCCCAGTGTATAATKAAATAAGGAGACTCAGGAAGGTTAAACCCACTTGAGGCAGGCAGTGATCTCCTGGAGCTGCACATCCTCACAGATGAATGCCATCTTTCGTCTTCTTTCAGGCATGGGCTTGAGCTGTGCCTTCGATTGCATCAAGCTTTTGTAATTTCTGAGTGCTCAGCTTTTGAAGATTCACTTCTACATGAAAAGTTCTTGAAAAGAGCAGTAGTCAGCAGCTTTATAGCAAAGCATTTTTCCCAACAAGTATTAATGTAATTAGGGAGAGGAGCATGTGTGCTGGAGCTTAAGAAACACAATTTTAAATACASAGGGACAGTAGATAGGACAAGGACAGTGGAGAGGCAAGGCTGGGATCATCACCTGGATTTCAGAGCTTGTCTTTTTGCTGGCTGGAGAAGCTGGTCACATTTTTCAAAAACAAATCAAAAAGTAGATTCTCACCAGTGTGGGACTCTGATCWTTAGATGTCTCAGTGAGGTATGATCAAATCCTGCAGTGACCTTGTCTGACCACTCCTGGAGTGGGTGATCACAGTGGCAGAGCTCAGTCCCCTCCTCTACAATCCCAAATGCCCCATATGCACCTCCCAGAGTGAGTGCTCTTGCTGCYTCCTTCTAAATGGCTGCACTTTTGTCATCATGGCCATCAGGAACCTGYTGGGTCAATCAAGGCACTCAGGGCTGAATCACGGATTAAGACAATGCTTAGCAGAGCAAGGTATGCTGGATCAGCAAGGTCCTGACTGATGTGCAGAGCAGTGGGGCTGGTGTGGAAGGGCTGTTGAAGGGGGAGAAGCTTTGCCCACCTCAGAACAGCCATGGGGATAACCTGTGGAATAATCTAAGGGATTAACCTCCAGGATAGTTTATAGGATAGTCTATGGCAYAAACTGCAAAATAGCATAGAGCATAGTTGAGTGGGCAGTGGGATATGGGCTAGGCTGTAGCACAGCCAAGGGGACAGCCTACAGGATAACCCCCAGGATAGCCCTGCAGTGCCAAGGGTTCTCCCTGAAAGACTCCAGTGCCTGCTCCAAGCTGGCAGAGGAAAGATGTGAAGCAAAGTCTTGCACTTCCCAAAAGAGCCACCTTGCTGCYGGCTCTGAGAGCTTCAGGAGTCCCACTGGCTTTAGCCTGGCAGATYAGCCCAGCTCTGGGACCCACTCAGCCCTCCAAACCCTACAAATCCCCTGTGGAGAGCCCTGTCTGCGTTTGCAGGGCAGCCAGGGACAAAAAACAACAGAGGAAGAGCCACAGCCAAGCCCCGTTGACCCCTGCTAGGGTCAGCTGTGTCTCGCCCCGGCTGCAGGGAGGGTCTGGGGTGGGCAGAGTGAGCAGCAGTGACCCCGCTGCCCCAAGCCCTGCTCCCCCAGCCTGCAGCACAAAAGGGGCCAGGAAACGCCTCTGCAGCCCCTCTATCAGAAACCCCAGAAAATCCGGAGAGGCRAAACTCGCAGGACGGGCTGTTTCCCGGCTGTGCAGGCTCGCAGCCCATGGAGCAGCCTCTCTCTCCGCTGTCTCCAGACTCCGTCCCTGCCGTGCCCGAGCCTCGCCCGCCGCCGCTCCGGCTGCCCCGGGCACTGCAGCACGGCACAGCCCGGGCACGGCAGATGGCATTCGGCGGCTGCTCCGGGAGCACACCGCCGGCTGCTCCGCTCCCTCCTGGCTCTCTCATGGCAGACGCCTTTGCCAGGAGGCTTCACATTCCCCTAAATAACAAATTCCTTCACTCCGGGGGTGGCACGGATGGCGGTGGGCGAGAGCATGGGCTTTATGCTTTCTTCATGCTTCTGGAGCTTATAGAGAAAAAAACGCTGCTGCTTTTTCCTTCTGTCCTTGTAATGATAACGGGAGGGATGTGGAAACKGAGCCGCTGAGTTTGGATTGAGACGGTCCAAGCCCTGGCTGGCAGTGGGTGTCTGAAAGGACACTTCCAGCACYCGGCACTTGCAGGTGGGAGCCTGTGACACCACTTGCACTGTGCMAGCCGCTCAGCAGGAGAGGCACTAATTAATAATTATGGTTCTATTTCAGCATAAAATCAAATGGCATCTCTCACCATCCTAATGATGGAGGTTTTTCCTCCTCCACAGCCCCCCCACCCCCACCCCCCCGAGGGATAAATGCCACTTGGTCTTGTGCATAACAGGAGCTGGTCAGTCCCAGGGTCAGAGCCCGAACGCGGATGCCCAGCAGCTCTCAGCCTTACAGCCAAGAGGGGTTGTTGCTATGGGAATGGAGAGGGGGCTTGCAGGCAGCATCTGGCGCCTGTGTCTTTCCCTGTCCGAAGCAGCTGGATTTGGAGGGAAGCAAAACTAAAAGGAGGTGGCAGAGAGAGACAGAGACACAGCAAAATGCATGCATGTTAGAGGAGGGACCTTCCCAGAATGAGAGTACAGTGGGATACAGAAGAGCGGGGACACCAAACTGTCAGGCAGCGGTGGCTCGGCTGGGTAGRATAAACCTGATTTTTCTGCTGTTTGACACTGGAAACAAGTCCGGTGAGAGCCCAGCTGTAGCAAGATGGGATCTGCCTCCTCGACTTACCGGCCCAAATGTATTTATTTGGATATTGATGGAAGAATTCAAAAGGTACTTTTGCTGTTTTTCACCAAGTGGCGTCTCCGGACGCGGCGGCGGCTGCGGGCGGTGTTTGCTGCACGAGCGATCCCCGTACCGCGAGTCAGACGCGTGTRCATCCAGCGGGCTCCAAATCCCTTTGTGAGGGGAAAGGGGGGGATGCTGAGTGCCTTCTGCTTTGTACACGGATGTTTATTTAAAGGGGAAGGGGAGGCTGGCAGAGGGGAGGGCTGGGCGCTGCCAACACTAACTCGCTGCCAGCTCTCCCTGCCGGCGTGGGGATCCTCGGTTTCGCAGCCGTGTTGGCTTCCCCTCCCGGAGCAGCGTCGCGCCGTGTTTACAAAGTTTCGCCTGTGGCCAGGTTTTCCCCCCAGGCAGTGGGAGCAGGGAAAGCACGGCATGCCGAGCTCCTCGGAGACTGCCTGCCGGAGGGTTCTGGCSGTGGCCATCACCCCACGGCCGGGCTGAAGGTCAGGCAGGTGCCCGGGCTCTTTGTGCGATGCCGCTGCACCGCCGGGGGCTGCGGGGTCCCCGCCGCCTCTGCCAAAGTTGCTCGTAAATGCCGGTAATTAAAAACTTTCGCTGCCATTCGCCTGCCGTGTTTGATTAAGCACGGTTCACAGCGCAGGGAGAACTGCGGGAGAAATGTGTCCTGGCTAAAAGGGAGAGCTCGAACGCTGTCGAGCCGACAGCCTGCTGCTTTTAAACACAAACAATGCCGACGCGTTTCTGAAAGTCTTTCCCCCCCTCCCCTTCTCTTTGTCAGCAGTTCTTTGGCCGCAAACCAAGTGCCTTTTCTATAACAGGGAGCTGCTGCGAGGCTCCGGAGCAAGCAAACTCTGATTTGCAAAATTCAAATCTCTCTCGTCTTGCTGCTCTAAATTTTCAATTCACCCAGACTCGCATTTTGTTTCTTCTTAAGAAAGAAACAGCAAAGATATTATATGTTATTACCCTGTCCCTTCCCTCCCCTCTGCTGTATGAGTGACCGCAGCAGCGAGGTAAACGCAGAGCTGATACTCACAGTCCCATCCCACCACACACGCCTCCAGTCCCCTCCACCACCGCCCTGGAGACCACGGCGACCGCTAAAAGTCGTGTCCTCGGGAACAAGACCTTGGAGAATCCAGATCTGTGCCGGATTCCCCAGAGAATGCTGCTCYTCTTTTTCCATCTTAGACGTAGCTTATGATGGTGATGGTCCCTCTGCTGCCGTGAGATTGTCCCTGCCGGCTCTGCTGAGCTGAAAGCACTGATTCTCTTTTGCTAGGGTTTAATAAATTGGTTGCCTGGTGGCTCCCCGAAGCACAGATTGTGTGGAGCTCCCTGGTACTTGGAGAGTTCAGTACAAAAATGTACTGGCATTTTGAAACGGTGGTGATTGTTTCCATAGATGTCGTTAATGCAGTGTCTGTCATCTATGCTAGATTTAAAAAAACAAACAACCCAGCATTTCTCCAACCAGCCTCTGGAGTGTACTTTTAACACTAAAAGCACGGGAGAGGCACAGTCACATGAGCAAGCAAATGCAAACTCAGGCAGTATTAAGGGGGTTTAAGCTCGATAAACATTATCTCTTTCTTTTGTCAGATGTAAAATTCTGCCTGTGTAATGTTTGGAAGGATTCCTGAAGTTAAAATGCCGTGTAAATGGGGTTCACCCAGCGGTAAGCAGGGCATATCTCAGATTCTCCTGCCTTCTCAGTAACAACATCATTAGAAAGAGCAGAAAGGGGGAAAAAAGGAAAAACCAGGAGCCCTTAATCTTCAAAGGAATGCAGCATTGGAGGCTTCWAAAGGGAACTCATTAAATCAATGCTAAGCTTCTTGTCAAGTAGTAACGAGGTACAAGCTTCATTATAAAGCACTTGTTGAGTTTGAAAGGGCTCAGCTCCAACTCAAACTGGCCCTGCTGGGCATCGTGCAATAGAACTGGGCATCCTACCACAGCACCAGTTGTGGTGGCAACTATTCAGAAATAATTTCTGTGTTTCCATGGTCTCATCCTGAATTTCTACCGGTGCATCCACAGGGTGTGCTATTGACTTTGGAAGAAGATTTTTCACATCAGCACCAGAGTAAAGGAAGGGACAAATCCAGCCCAGGGAGCTGCACACTGCCTCCCCAAGGACCCTGTGCCCTGCAGATGAGCACTGGAAAGTGCTCTACAGCAGGAGAGTGGAATYAAACTTAATAGGTTTGTGTGTTGGCAGGTCCAGAGGGGCACAGCAGGGAGGGCAGAGGGACGTGGCAGTTACGAAAGAAGAGTTGTTTGGTTGACTCTAAATTGGGAGGAGCTGTTGACTTCCTTGAGGGCAGAGAGGCCCTTCGAAAAAACTTGACGAATTTGAGCGTCGGGCAATCACCAATCATGTGAAGTCCAACAAGGGAAAATTAAGGATTCTGCACCTGGGATGGGGCAAACCCAGTTGTGTGTGTAAACTGGGGATTGAGATGCTGGAAAGCAGCACCCAGGAAACGGACCCGGGGGTCCTGGYTGATACAAAGTTGAATATGAACCAGCAGTGCCCTGACAGCCAGGAGAGGCATCCCTGTCCTGGGGGGCATCAGGCACAGCATCGTCAGCCGRGCAATGGAGGGGATTGTCCCGCTCTGCTCTGYGCTGGGGTGGCCTCAYCTSRAGTGCTGGGGGCAGCTTTGGGAACCACAATGTAAGAAAKWCATTGAACTATCAGAGGGTGTCCAAAGGAGGCCAACARAGATGGCAAAGGGTCTGGAAGGGAAGCCAGGTGAGGAGCAGCTGAGGGCACTTGGTCTGTTCAGCCTGGAGAGGAGGCAGCTGRGGTAAACTGATGTTCCAGAGGCGTGGCCAGGCACAAAACAGTCTGCACTGCAGGGATGGGCTCTCCTGCAGTGGACAGAGCTGGCTGAACACCTCTCCATGTTGGGGCAGTACAGGCTGCACACTGGGAGGGACTTGTGATGGCCCACCCCAGCCCAGCAGACTCTACCCATGGGATCCCTGAGCTGGCAGAGGGATAGTCATGCAGGRGCTGTGGGGTGGGAAAATCAGAGGCTTTGTGGTATTACAGCCACACTCCAAACTGGGGCTCCACACAAACCAGTTTCAAAGAGGTCACTTGCTCTCAAAGCGGACTGAAGAACAAAATTACAGTGTAATGCACTTCCTATCCASTACCTCTGTGAAGGGATGCACACCTGGGGGAAAGAAGTGCTGCCTGGTTTATTTATTTCTAAAGGATCTTCTCAGCCAGCAGCTCATTACCTGCTTGCCTGGACACACACCTCCCTCTGCCCTTCTCATGAATGCCTGGGGAAGCACATCCATATCCCAGCCCTGCCACAGCCTGCTCTGCTGCCAGGCACAGGAGAAGGTGCTGTGACAAGGGGAAGCAGCAGCTGTGCTTCAYCTAGGATAAGGTGATCTCGACAAASCACCWTAKACTGGGATTTCTCCKGGTCCCTGGARCGCCACTAGATGGGGTCAAGCACTCAAACCCCCAACATCAGTAGAGTGGTGCCAAACTTAAGCCAGACCTGGAGTCTAATTTTCCTTCAYACTGTTATTAACCCTTTGGCTGTGTTTTGAAGAAAAAATCCTACTGAGTCTGTTTCAAATTAAAAAATCCACCAGCAAGAAAATGTTCCCCATCTCATGCCCAATCTTTTTTTCCATGGAGAAACTACAGGGAACATTTTCTTTTGACCTTTGAGATTTAAATGGTAGCAGAGCGGAACCAGCCAGTGGCCTTATTCCCAGCTGGGTGGATGGCTCTCCTTTTTTAAATGTCACAGGGTAGTGGCTTTGCTTACAGAGTTTTAAGGAGYTCCTCTGAGAAAAATGCTCATTTCAAGAGGATTTCTGTTTCTGGTGTCTTAATCAAAATCGTATTTGTAACAAGTATGGAAAACCAGAGTGCTACAGAGCCTGAAGGAACTGGAAAGGAAGAGGACTGTTGTCTTTGTCACGGATTCTATGAAATCACTTGGTGATATTTTCTTCCTCTTCAGAAAGCAAGTAAAGAATTTTGGAGTCATTTTGCTGGTTAACTGAGTCATGTTGAACAGAAAAATTACCTTCTTTTATTTTTTTTCTCAAAGAAACTCATAGAGTTCAAGCTTTCTGGGTATCTACTGACCTGTCCTGTGTTGCAGGACAGAGCCATCAACAGCCACTGCTCCTCTTGGCCTGAGGTCCCCAACGAACAGGACAAGGCTCAGACTGAGCTTTGGTGCCGTTGTTGCACCRGAACATCAGCATGCAGGAATCACTTCTGTCATATGAGCTTCTCTTTTTAATCAGAGCAGCAGCACCTGTGGTATAAATGCCCAGATTCTAGCAACAGATTTTTCCAAAGCTCACCAGGCTATTTTTAACCTGCCAAACTGGATTCAGATGAAAAACAAAAGACATCAGAAAAAATAATGGTGTGATGATCCCTTCAAAGTGATGAAATCGTTTTGCATCCTGATGACTCTCAGCACAGCAAGGCAAGCCCGTGGAACCCATCCCCTGTCTGTTTGCAATAAGGATTTAGGGGATGCCAAACACCAGCTGCCAAACACCAAAGGGATGCACAACAGGRCTGTTCATGGCCGTCAGGACATGGACACCTCTGGGGGATGCTCTGGGATAAATCCTGCTTTAGCACAGTGAGGTATAAGAATGKTTTTGTGGGAACAAGGCCATTTTCTTAGTGCTGGCAGATCTCTGTGGGTATGGACGGTACCAGCTGGCACAGCCTGAGCCCAGCCAKTGGCCTTGGCTAACTTTGGCTTTCTCACTTTAGCTGGCCCTGATGAACTCAAGGTGGTTGCTCATTGTTGTAAAGCAGCACCGAATGAGCAGCAGGTTCCTTGAACTCTGTCACATTGCAGCACATAAACATTTTAAGGAGAAAAACTGGCTTAAAACAATGCTTTAAAAAAACTGAAAGATAATGTCATACATGGGCCTCTCTCTTTCCTAACCCCCCTTTTGCTTCCTTTCCAGTGGGAGCTCCTCAGAGCATTTAGGTGACCAAACCATAA